ACCCAGGCCCTGAGTTCAACCCAAATACTGACACTCGCATGCATTTACACACATACATTCACACACACACATCACACACATACCTTTCTCTGATCCAAACCTCACATTTACACTTCCAGAGCACCGATGTTTAAGCATAAAATATTAACTTGGCACTCCCACCAGCATAGCCTAGGTGGGAGCAAGCACCCACAATCCCAAGCCTTTAGCCCAAACTGTTCCCTCCAATCAAAATGTTCTTCCCTCCCCCAAATAAAACCCACCTGTCTTGTGTCAAATTCGTTCAGGTCATCAAGACAAGATTCTAGGGGCTGGGAAGGTGGCTTAGTAATAGAGCGCTTGCCTTGCATGCCTGAGGCCCTGGGTTCGATTCCTCAGCACCACATAAGCAAAAGAAAGAAAAAAGCCGGAAGTAGCGCTGTGGCTCAAGTGGTAGAGCACTAGTCTTGAGCTGAAGAGCTGAGGGACAGCACCCAGGCCCAGAGTTCAGGCCCGACGACCGGACCCAAAAAAAAAAAAAATAAAGACAAGATTCTACACTTATTTCCCTCATAACAAAACCCATCTTTGGGTTGGTATAACTTAGACATAGTACATTTGTTCCCAGGTCTCATTTGCTAAGTAGAGGCTTCTAATTGAAAAGCAATGATTTGTGATATTTTACATTTATCCACTACCAGAGAAATTGCATAAAAAATAAAAATTAAAAATTTAAAAACCCACCCAGCTCATGTCTATTATCCTACCTACTCAGAAGACTGAGATCTGGGAATCCAGTTTCAAAGCCAGGCAGGCAAGAAAGTCCAGGAAACTCTACCTCCAATTAACCAGCAAATAAATACACAGGCAGAAATGGAGCTGTGGCTTAAGTGGTAGAGCCACCGGTCTTGAGCAAAAAAGCCAAGTAAGAGCACAAAGCCCTGAGTTCAACCCCCAGTACTGACAAAAACAAAAACACCCAGCTATGCATCCTGTGTCATCCTCTTTTGGGACTCACAGCCGAGGAAACTGATTCTGGAAGGTTTGGGACCAGCATCTACAGAGGTGTGATTCTTCCTTGCTTGCTTTCCTTCTCCTTTGTATCCCACCCACCCCAAGCCAAGATGCTTCCATAGATTCACAAAGCCACCTGTTAGAAATGACAGTCTAAAGAGAATATTAAGTCCCAGCAAAGAGTTTGCAGCAACTTGGAGGCCACAAAGCAATTTTGTGGGGGTGGCAGTCAGGCCCTGGGGCCATGGAATGGACATCTTTGAGAATCCCAGGCCAAGCTTCTTTCTGCCAATCCCAAGGCCTTGTGATCCTCTGTCCCAAGCCCCACATAATTAGAAGTTATAATCCTGTAATTCCATGATGGCATCTTTGAACTTAAATATACTTCAAAATGAGCTTATATAAATATACTAAGAGCAGCAAAAGAGCAGCAAAAAAAAAAAAAAATTTTTGCCTTTTTTTTCCCACTTGGTCTCCACCTGTTATTTATAGATTCTCCTTCAGTCTATCAATAAGCCAAAGAACAAGGTAGTCAGTCAGTGTCACCAGGGAAGGAGGAAGACGCCAAGGGCATTTTACAAGCCGGATGGCCAGGCTCAGAACAATTAAGAATTGATTGTCCTGAGAGGAGTTTCACTTCCCTATTGACAATTACGCACACTGCGCTGGGTGATCACACCTGTTATAAAAAAAATGAAAAAAAAAAAAGCCTACAACCCACCCGGTGACCCCTGAGCCAAGTTCCCAAGGCTATTTTTAGACACCCTGGGAATTTGCAAGAAGAAAGATGTGGCAGGTGTCCCCGTGATCGTCCGCAGCTGGAAAGCTTCCTAATAACCCAGCCCCTTGCTGCCTGCCACCTGTGAAGCAATCCCAGCGCCCCCACCGGACGCGGGCTGGGGGAGGTGGGGGTGGGTTCTCTTTTATGGGACTGTCACCCCCAAAGTGTGTGTTGGGGGGGGTGGACAGTGGTGAGCGTGCAGCAGAACCGACAGTGACCCAGTGAGAGGGAGCCAGCCTGCGTCGCTCGGAGCCCTCCTGAGTAGCCGGGGACCAGCTCAGGCCGGCAGGACCCGAGGTCCCCTTCCACCAAAGGGCTTCCCCTCACCCCTTAAAAAGAAAAAAGCAACTGAGAGAACGCCAACCCGACCTGGGGTGGTCGTTTCCTCACCATCCTCACGGTCCACTGGAAGCTGGGCTGGGGGGGGGGGGTCACATCGTCAGGCCAAGCACGCCGGCGGCCGCCCCCCCCCCCCCCCAGAATCCCTGCCTGGGTCCTTTCTCGAAGCACGCGGGCGGGATGGACAAACTGGACGACCCGGAGTAACCTCTCCAGAACCCCCATCCTCCGCGTAGGGAGGAGCCCCGCGCACCTCGCTGCCACCTGTACCTCAGCCACCCCCGACTTCTCCTCAGCGGGATCCGCCCCAGCCCTGCGCGCCCCCTCCACGCGTCGTCCCCGCGGCCTGGCCGACCCCCCCCCCACACCGGGGCCGCGCGCTTCCACAGCCCCCTCCGCCACCGGCGGAGGAGAAGAAGGTCGCACCCCCGCACCAAGTCACCCCACCTTCCGAAAGTAGTCGTCCCCTTCCTTCTCCAGCCGCCGGGGAGCCGCGGGCAGCAGCGCGTCGGTCATGCTGGCAGCGCTGGCGCCGAGGGCTGGACTGAGGCGACGAGGCCGCCCCAGCGCCCCAGAGGGCGCCAGGACCCGCCCCCGCCCGCCCGCGCCGCCACCTTCCAGCCCCGCCCCAGTCCGAGCCCGCGAGGCCTGAAGCCCCGCCCCACCCACGAGGCCACGCCCCCACGAGGCCTAGCCTGGGAGCCCTGTGGCTCCGCCCACCACAGATACCACGCCCCACACGTAGCCCGAGGCCAAGCCTAGGAGCTCTGTAGTCCCGCCCACTGTGAATACCACGCCCCCCGCAGCTCGAGGGCAAGCAAGAGAGCCTCGTAACCCCGCCCACCCAAAGGCCACGCCCGTATCGGGCGGTAGGCTAAACCAGGGAGCCCCGCCCTAGCCACGAGGCCACGCCCTCATCCCCGCCCCAGGCCAAGTCTTGGCGCCAGGGAGCCACTGAGGCCTCCTCCCAGCCTCAGGTCCAGCCACAGAGCCCTGGAGCTCAATTCCACCCTCTGAGACCAAGCCCCTAGCCCCTCCCAGGCGAAGTCTTGGGGCTTTGAAGCTCAACCCCTAAACCCGCTCTAGGCCAAGTCTCCCAGTCTTGGAGCCCGGCTTCTCCACCCCCTATCCTCGCTGTAAGCCGAGCATGGGAGCCCCGCCCCTCCCGCCGAGACTCCGCCCTCTTAGCCACGCCCATTCGCCGAAGTCACGCCTTCACTCTAGTCCCAAACCAATCCCTGAAGCCCCGCCCACAGAAGCCTCAGACCTCGGCTTCGCATTCTACGTGGGGTCTGTCTAAACCCTCCGCCATCGCCCTGCTGCTGGGAGATCTGAGACGGGTGGCTGGGCGCCCTCCTCGTCCTCTCGGAACCTATGATCTGGGTGGTGTTGGTCCTGTGGGAGCCACGGTGCCACAGGATGCAGTAAAATCAAGATCTCGCGCTCCAGAAGTGTGGATGTTTGGGGGACCAGGACCCACCCTGACGGACATGTCTGGGGACACCAAACACTGGGTCCACGGGTCAGGAAAAGGGACCGTGGGGACCTGCGCCATCGAACGTCCTGGCTGGCTGGTTGACTTCCAAAACTGGGGTTAGGCGGATCCCATGGGAGCCTTTGGGGGTTCTGGAGAAAGGGGCCACCTTCTTCTGGCAGGAACCTGGGGACCGGGTTTGTGCCCGAGGGACTGGGCGTATGGTAACTCCAACTTTTGTTTTCTCGAGTGTAAAATGGGATCCTATGATTTTTCTAGCTGGTCAAGGTTATTGGGAAGAAAATTTGGTTGAGGCATTACAACTGTAATCTGGAGGCTTGAGATTGAAGGAGCAAGGTTCGAAACCAGCCTAGGCGAGAAAGTCTGTGAGAGTCTTTATCTCCAGTGAATCAGCAAAAAGCCACAAGTGGAACTGCGGCATAGGAGTAGAGCACCAGCTTTGAGGAGAAAAGCTCAGGGACAAGCAGGCAGACATTGAGTTCAAGAGAGGCTAGGGCGGTGGAGCCAGGGTTCACGCCAGCCTCCACTCCATCCCACTACAGTATGGTCCTCTAGGAAGAATGCCTGGCTGAACCGTTCGTTGGGAGCTTGGAGGCCCTGGCTCGGGAGGTCTCGCTGCTTCCCCATTGAGATCCGCCATTACCTTGTCCCCTTCCCACCAAGGGACTCCTTTGTGTAGTTGAATTTGGCCATCTCAGTGAAGGCTGCAGCTAAAACACACCATACCTCTTTTTTTTTTTTTTTAAGTGTATTAGGGGTTGTTTGAAATTTTTATAATACAATGGTAATAACCAAGTCGATGTTCGAAATAAATAAATGAGTAAAAACATAAAGTCTCTCATCCCTACGTTAGTCTGTAAAACTTTCTAGAAAAGACGTTTTCATAGAGGGCTATTCTAAGAACCTGCAGAAGCTGGGCATGGCCGTGTACACCTATGAATTCCAGCCTTCTGTAAGGATGAGGGCAGGAGATTCCGAGTTTGAGGCCAGCCTGCATCACCAAAAATCTATATCAGAGACAGACAGATAGACAGAGTAACCATAACTGTAATCCTATCTATACAGGAGCATGCGATCTGAGGATCAAAGGTCAAAAACAGCCTGAGCAGGAAAGTCTATATAAACTCTTGTTACCAAATAACTACCCAGAAAAAGCCAGAAGTGGAGTTGTAGCACAAATAGTACTAGCCATAAGAAAAGAAAATACGTAAAACAAAGCTCAGGGAGAGAGCTCGCCCAAGGAACTCACTTCCCACTGGACCTTTTGAACAGAACTAGGATAGACACTCAGACAAACTCACTAAACTTAAAAGCATCCTTTGGGTTCGCGGAGGAGAAAAACTGTGACGTCTTTTGACCGCCGTCGGCCCCCGTAGCGAAGGGGCGGGGCCCGGAAGAGGCCAGGATGGCGGCTGCAGACAGCGACGAAGACCTGGTCAGCTATGGCACGGGCCTAGAGCCCCTGGAAGAAGGTGCGGGCAGGGTCTGGAGGGAGGCGGCCGGGGGATCACAGCAGCTGCTCTCTCGGGTTTGCTGGCTGTTCTGGAAGTTGGGGATCAGAGACCCAGAAAAATGGTGGTTGTGTGAGCCGGGGATGGTCAGCAGCTTCTTCCCCAAGACACCCCCATTTCCCCGCCCCCGAGGAAAGAGGACGTGTGCCCTCAAACTTGAAACGAAGGGGGGAAAGATGGCTTTGGAGCCGAGCGCTGGAGCTACTCAGGAAGCTAGATCTGAGGATCGTGGTTCGAAACCAGCCTGTGCAGGAAAATCTGTGAGAGTCTTACCTCCACTTAAACACACACACACACACACACACACAGCCCAGCCCAGAAGTGTAGCTGTGGCTCAAGTGGTAGATCTCACACACACACACACACACACACGTGGTAGATCTCACACACACACACACACACACACACACACACACACACACACACACACACACAGAGCCCAGCCAGCCCAGAAGTGTAGCTGTGGCTCAAGTGGTAGATCTCTCTCACACACACACACACATGCAGCCCAGCCAGCCCAGAAGTGTAGCTGGCTGTGGCTCAAGTGGTAGATCTCACACACACACACACACACGTGGTAGATCTCTCTCTCTCTCTCACACACACACACACACACACACAGCCCAGCCCAGAAGTGTAGCTGTGGCTCAAGTGGTAGATCTCACACACACACACACGCAGCCCAGCCAGCCCAGAAGTGTAGCTGGCTGTGGCTCAAGTGGTAGATAACACACACACACACACACACACACACACACACAGAGCCCAGCCAGCCCAGAAGTATAGCTGTGGCTCAAGTGTCAGATCTCTAGCCTTGAGTTTTGAAAAAGCTCAGGAACAGCGCCCCAGGCCCTGAGTTCAAGCCCCAGGACCAGCCCGCAAGAAAAATTGGCCTGCGAAGATACGGGATGGAGGGGATACTCAAGGGAGGGGCAGTTTGGCAAAGAGAGGGATAGACAGGATTGGTGAGGGTGGAAAAGATGGTGCCAGAAAAAAAAAAAAAAGATAGTTGTCACAGGGGTCAAACAGGGGCTGTGTCCTGGCATAATAAGGAGATTGACTTTGTTGTTCTTTGAAATAGGGCTTCACCATGTAGTGCAGGCTGGCCTGTCTCATCTTTCAGATTGTTTGGGATTGGAGGGGTACACCATCACGCCTGGCTATAGATATACTAAAGAATATAGATATAGATGTAACATATGTATGCATAATATGTCATATATGATACATGTTTTTGTTTTGCTGGTCCTGGGGTTTGAACTCAGGACCTGGGCACTGTCCCTCAGCTTTATTGCCAAAGGCTGATAATCTCCCACTTTGAGTTATACCTTTTTACTTTCAGATTTTTGCTAGTCAATTGGAGACAAGAGTCTCAAGGATTTGTCTGCCCAGACTGGATTTGAACTTCAGATTTCAGGACCTGAGTAGTTAGTATTACAGGCATGAGCCACTGGTGATTCCTTCAGTGAACATTTGATCAGCAAATAAGAAAGGGAACATTGTGGGTACCATACCTGGCTTGGAGACCAGAGTTGAGATCTGGTTTTTCTTTGTGCTTATTAACTGTGGACCTCAGGGAAGGTACTTAATGAGTACCTTCATGATTTAATTTATCATATCCCTGATAAGGAAGGAATTAGTTGTTATTAGTAGCAGTAATTACAACAAAGTCTGGTTAAAATGCCACCTCTTCTTATGATTTTTTCCCCTAGCTCTGTGGTTAGAGATGGCGCCTTCTCCTTAGGTGCCCTGTGGGGAGTGGTTGACCCTCATCATCTTATAGCCACCTGTTACACTGAGATGTCTCTGGATCTCCTTCTAGATCAAGAGTACATTGAGAATGGCAAAACCAGTATTGTACTGGCAGGACCCACCTTCTTTTATTTTAAACCAGTCATTCTCAGCTGGCGACAATGGGCAGTGTCTACAGACATCTTTGTATCAGACTTATGGGTGGCTGGGAGGGAGGCATGCTACAGACATCTAGTGTTGTAGATCAGCAGTGTTCTGAACTATCTTCCAGCCCCCAGCACATCTCACAACAAGGAATTATTCAGCACAAACTGTCCATATAGCTGAGAAACCCTGCCTTACCTGAGTATTCATGCCAGGCACACAGGCAGAAGTGGAGTGTGTGTGTGTGTACTGCATTTCTAAGCCATGCTGAATTTCTTGCATCCTAAAGTTACAGTATTGGAAGCTACGCCTTTGAGAGATTAAGTAATTTGCCCAAGACCACAAAAGTAATAAGTAAAGGAGGAGAATTTGACCTCAAAGCTCCTAGTCTTCAAAAGCAACCCTTTATCACCGTGCTGTTGTTTCTTTTTTTTTTTGGGGGGGGGGCGGTTCCGGTTATGGGGCCTGAACTCTGGGCCTGGGCGCTGTCCCTCAGCTCTTTAGCTCAAGGCTAGCGCTCTACCACTTGAGCTGCAGCGTCACTTCCGGCTTTTTTCTTTTTGCATATGTGGTGCTGAGGAATCGAACCCAGGGCCTCAGGCATGCAAGGCAAGCGCTCTACCCCTGAGCCACCTTCCCAGCCCCCTGCTGTTGTTTCCATGGCCAGAAATGACCTAAAACCTAGCACTCTACCACTTGAGCTACAACTCCACTTCTGATTGTTTTTTGTTTTTGTTTTGGTCTGGTCGTGGGGACTGAACTCTTGGCCTGGGCTCTGCTCCTCAGCTCTTCAGCTCAAGGCTAGCGCTCTACCACTTGAGCCACAGCACAACTTCCAGCTTTTTTCTGTTTTCTTCTGTGGTGCTGAGGAATTGAACCCAGGGCCTCATGCATGCAAGGCAAGCGTTCTACCACTGAGCCACCTTCCCAGCCCTTCTGATTGTTTTTTGTTTTTTTTTTTTGCCAGTCATGGTGCCTGAACTCTGGGCCTGGGCACTGTCCCTCAGCTCTTCAGCTCAAGGCTAGTGCTCTACCACTTGAGCCACAGCACCACTTCCAGCTTTTTCTGCTTATGTGGTGCTGAGGAATCGAACCCAGGGCCTCATGAATGCAAGGCAAGCACTCTACCACTGAGCCACCTTCCCAGCCCCCTTCTGATTGTTTTTTGTAGTTTATTAGAGGTTAAAGTTTCTTGGACTTTCCTGCCTGGGCTAGCTTCAAACTTCAACCCTAATATCTCATCCTCTTGAGTAGCTAGGATTACATGTGTGAACCATCAGTGCCTGCCAAAAATGCCTTTTTTTTTTTTGCTAGTCCTGGCGTTGAACTCAGGGCCTGGGCACTGTCCTTGAACTTCTTTTGATCAAGGCTAGCACTCTACCACTTGAACCACAGTGCCACGTCTGGCTTTTTCTGTATATATGGTACTGAGGAATCGAACCCAGGGCTTCATGCACACTAGACAAGCACTCTACCACTAAGCTACATTTCCAGCCCATCGCAAAAATACATTTTTATGAGCATGTCAATAAAAGTTCTATCCTCATTCTTTCAGTACTGTAACTTGAATTCAAGGCCTGGAGCTCTCATTTGGCTTTTTTAAAATTTTCTGAGTTTTGTTGTCCGTTTTGGGGCTTGAACTCAAGGCCTGAGTGTTATCCATGAGCCTGTTTTTGCTCAAGGCTAGCTCTCTACCCCACTTGAGCCACAGTGCCACTTTGGTTTCTGAGTGGTTAATTGGAGATAATAGTCTCACTGAGACTTTTCTGCCTGGGCTAGCATCAACTGTGATCCTCCGATCTCAGTCTCTTTAGTAGCTAGGATTACAGGCATGAGCCACCAGCACCTGACTGGGTTTTCTTTTTTTGCTCAAGGTTGGTATTCTAGTAATTGAGCCACACCTCCACTTTGCTGGTTAATTGGAAATGAGAGTCTCACAGATTTGTCTACCCAGGCTGGCTTCAAATCTCCATCCTCAGATCTCAGCCTCCCAAGTAACAAGGATTACAAGTGGGAGCTACCGTGCCCAACTTATGTTTAAGTGTTTTTTAAACAACAACAAAATGGTTTATTTATTTTATTTCCAGGTGAAAGGCCAAAGAAACCCATTCCTCTTCAGGACCAGACAGTAAGAGATGAAAAAGGAAGGTATAAACGGTTCCATGGAGCCTTTAGTGGTGGCTTCTCTGCTGGGTACTTCAATACCGTTGGCTCAAAAGAAGGTAAGATTTTCCCACTAGCAACTGTTCTACTGCCAGAGCAAATGGTTGAAATACCTATGATTCCAACCCCTCCCATCTTCCCCCCTCCCCCCCTTATGTCAGTACTGGGGCTTAAACTTAAGGCTTTGTGCTGTTATTTAGCTTCTTTTGCTCAAAGCTGGTGCGCTTCCACTTGAACCACAACTCTACTTCTGTTTTTTTTTTTTTTTTTTCTGATTAATTGAAGATATGCTAGTTTCAAACCTTGATCTTCAGACTGTAGTAGTAGCTAGGATGACAGGCATGAGCCACCATTGCTGCCAGCTTATTTCTTAATAGTTGAGAGGAAACCTCTGGGTGTGCACTGAGCTTTGTCTGCTGGTGGGAGGGACTAATGTGAGCAGATGTGAAGTGATTGATGTCCACCACACAGCAAGATGGGCAGTAGCTGAGTTTCAAGTCCCAGCATGTTACTTAATGGCCTAGTCAGAAACCAGAATGCTATATAGGATTGTAAAATTCTGAACCACTTTCTTTCTAGGATGGACACCCTCAACTTTTGTGTCTTCGCGACAGAACAGAGCAGACAAATCTGTCCTTGGACCTGAAGATTTTATGGATGAAGAGGTAGATATGTAAAACTTGACTCCTTTTTTTTTTTTTTTTTTGGTCAGTCATGGAGCTTGAACTTAAGGTCTAGGCTCTGTCTTTGAGTTCTTTTGCTCAAGGCTAGGGCTCTAACCACTTTGAGTCACAGCAGACTCTTCTGGTTTTCTAGTGGTTAATTAAAGATAAATGTCTCATGGACTTTCCTGCCAGGGCTTGGCTTTGAATCTTGATTCTCAGATCTCAGTCTCCTGAGTAGCTAGGATTACAAGCATGAGTCACTAGCGTCCATCAAACTTGCCCTTTTTTTGGTCAGTTGTGGGGCTTGAACTCTGGGCCTGGGCACTGTCCCTCAGCACTTCAGCTCAAGGTTAGCACTCTACCACTGGAGCCACAGCACCACTTCCGGCTTTTTTTGTGCTTATGTGGTGCTGAGGAATTGAACTCAGGGCCTCATGCATGCAAGGCAAGCTCTCTACCACTGATCCACCTTCCCAGCCCCTGTTGTTATTATTGGTTGTGGGGCTTGAACTCAGAACCTGAGCACTGCCCCTGAGCTAGCATTCTACTACTTGAGCCAGAGCACCACTTCTCATTTTTGAGTAGTTAAGTGGAGAGTCTCATAGGAACTTTTCTGCATAGGCTGGCTTTGAACTGCAATCCTCAGATCTCAGCCTCCTGAGCCACTGGTACCCGGCTTGTTGATTTTTTTTTTAAATTTTATTTATTTATTTTTGTTGTTCTTGGTTGTGGGGCTTAAATTCAGAGCATGGGTGCTATCCCTGAGCATTTTTCCTTCAAGGCTAGCTAGTGCTCTATCACTTTGATTCACAGTGCCACTTCCAATTTTCTGATGGTTCATTGGATATAAGAGGCTCAGTGACTTTCCTGCCCAGGCTGGCTTTGAACCACAATCCTTAGATCAGCTTCCTGTGACTAGCTAAGATTATAGGCGTTAGCCACCAGGGCCTGACTTGATTTTTTTTTTTTTTTTTTGCCTATCCTGGGGCTTGAACTCAGGGCCTGGGTGCTGTCCCTGTGCTCTTCAGCTCAGGCACTGTCCCTGAGCTTCTTTTGCTCAGGGCTAGCACTTTACCACTTGACCCACAGTCAAGTGGTAAAGTACTAAGGTACTAAGGAATCAAACCTAGGGTTTTATGCATGCTAATCAAGCATTCTACCACTAAGCTACATTCCCAGCCATTGATTTTTTTTTTTTTTTGTGGTCGGTAGTGGTGCTTGAACTCTGGGACTGGGCGCTGCCCCTGTGCTCTTCTGCTCAAGGAAAGCGCTCTATCGCCACTTCTGGTTTTCCAGTGGTTTATTGGAGATAAGAGTCTCACAGACTTTCCTGCCTGGGCTGGCTTTGAACCGTGATCCTCAGATCTCAGCCTCCTGAGTAGCTAGGATTACAGGCGTGAGCCACCGGTGCCCGGCTGATTTGTTTTTTAAAAAAACAAAACTTGCCAGGTGCCGGTGGCTCATGCTTGTAAACCTAGCTACTCAGGAAGCTGAGATGTCAGGATATAGGTTCAAATCCAGCCCAGGCAGGAAAGTCTGTAAAACTCCTATCTCCAGTTAAGTACCAAAACCCTGGAAGTGGAGCTGTGGCCCAAGTTGCAGAGGGCCAGCCTTGAAAAAAAACAACAACCTCAGAGATGACACCCAGGCTCTAAGTTCAAGTCCCAGGTTAGGCACCGCCACCCGCCCCCCAATAAAAAAGAAAAGAAAAAGAAACAAAGCCATGTGACACATCATCCCTCCAAATAATGGAATTCTGTGTGCATTCTTTCTTTTGAAGGATCTTAGTGAATTTGGGATAGCACCTAAAGCAATTGTCACCACAGATGATTTTGCTTCCAAAACCAAAGACAGAATCCAAGAAAAAGCCAGGCAACTGGTAGCTGCAACAGCCCCCATTCCTGGAGCCACTCTGCTCGATGACTTCGTAACACCAGCAAAGTGAGGAGAGTTTGCTGTGTGTGTGTGTGTGTGTGTGTGTGTGTGTGTGTGTGTGTGTGTGTGTGTGTGTGTGTGTGTGTGTGTGTAATGTCTTACCTTGGAGTTGATTGACAGCAAGCCAAGAGAATCTTTCCTAGACTAGAAGTTGACATAAAGGGCTTTTGCCCAAGAGGTCTTAAGGTATCCTTATTAAAGGGCTTAGGAGCCCCAGCCTCTGGCCTGGCCAGCTGCTGAGGTTCCCTATCTCATTCTACCTTTTCTTTCCCCACACCTCTCTGTTCTCTTCCAGGGGACTTGTGGTAGGATGTAGCTTGATGTGGCAGCCTCAGATTGGCACAAGACATATGCTAGACAGGGGCTGTCCAAAGGCCTGGGAGAGAGAGGGAGAGACTTTTGATGAACTTCCCAGCTCTTCGGTGCCCAAGCTCAGGGAGCTGTGGCTACACCTGCTGTGTCACAGCAGTGTGACATGGGGGATGGGTGAGCCCAGATAAGATGAGACCAGAAGCAGATGCCGCTTGCTTCCTGCTGCTGCTACTGCTGGCCTTGTAAAAGAAGTTCATGTCCAATGCCTACCTTGGTCTCCTAGGTTATCTGTTGGGTTTGAATTGCTAAGAAAAATGGGTTGGAAGGAAGGACAAGGAGTTGGTCCTCGAGTCAAGAGAAGGCCACGCAGACAAAAACCTGGTATGTCTACAGACCATTACTAATTTAATTCTATAGCATGTTTGTGTGTTTGTTTTGTGAGATAAGGTCTCTCTGTGTAGGTCATGCTGACTTGGACTTTTTCATCCTCCTGCTTTTGCCTCCCAAGTACTGGGATTAACATGTGCCTGGCTACAACTCCCTCTTATAGTCCTTCTCTTCCTCCTCCTCCTCCTCTTCCTCCTCCTCCTCTTCTCCTCCTCTTTGTTCTCTTTCTTCTCCTTTTTGTTTCTTTCTTTTTTAATTTTCTTCAGTATTGGGATTTGAACTCAAGGCCCTTATGCTTGCTACACTGGCACTTTACCCCTTGATATGACAATGCTCCCAGCCTAGTTTTTTCCGACCTGGGCCGGTTCACCCCTCCTTAGGTAACCTGGTGTTCCCCTGCTCCTGGGAGGTCACCATATTGATGCCGAATTTAGTGCCAACACCCAATCGGCATAGTGCACTGCAGCCCAGAATTCCTGGACTCAAGCGATCCTCTGGACTCAGCCTTCCGAGTAGCTGGGATTACAGGCGCATGCCACCGCGCCTGGCCCAGCCTAGTTTTTTGCTGATGGTTTTTTATATAGGGTCTCGTGTCTTGCCTGGATGTGCTATCTACTTCTTCTCATTGTTAGTGGGATTGCAGGTGTGCATTGTTGCATCCAGCTTACCTCCATAGAGATGGGGACTTCTCTGGGCTGCTCTGACTTCAGCCTCCCAAGTAGCTAGGGTTACAGTCATGATACCCAGCTTATAGCCTACTCTGTAATGGTTGCATGTTTCTAGAGGCAGAATTGCTGGGTCAATGAGATATGTATGTTTCAAAACTTTATATACTTTTGGTGCTAGTACTGTAGGCCTGAGTTCTGTCTTAGTTTTTTCACTCAAGGCAGATGTTTCTACCCCTCAACCCACAGCTCCTTTTCCAACTTTTTTTTTTGCTGGTTCGTTGGAGATAAGAGAATCTCATAGACTCTTCTTGCTTCAGATGGCTTTGAACTGTGATCCTCAGATCTCAGCATCCCGAATAGCCAGGATTACAGGTGTGAGCCACCAGTGCCCAACTGCGTATAGTATTTTAGGGCAGTGTGATTTCCTTGAAGTTCTCCATGGTATTAGAACAACACAGTATTGTTGTCAGTGTGGGTGGGGCAGGGCCTGGGATGGGAGTCTCCTGGTGACCCATCTCTGACCTCTGCAGCCCTGTGTCCCTGTAAAATGTCCATAGGTCTGGTCACTCATGACTAATGCCTTTGCAACCTCTTTTATAGATCCTGGAGTAAAAATCTACGGCTGTGCCTTACCCCCTGGAGACTCTGAAGGCTCTGAGGTATCACTTCAGCAGAACCTGTTACTTTGTGATTGTGACACGTTAGGAGGGCCCATTGGTACCAATTGATCCCATGCCCATGTTATGTCAGTTAATGTTTTTTTCTGCAACAGCATCAGGTCAGGGAGGGGGGGGTGGACGCACAAATTGAACCAAGTACCTCATGCATGCCACGTATTGTACTGCCTCTGAGCTATAGCCTCAACCTGCTCAGATTCTCTCTCTCTCTTTTTTTTTTTTCCCTTCTCTTGTATTTTTTCACTCAAGATTAGCACTCTAGGGCTGGGAATGTGGCTTAGTGGTAGAGTGCTTGCCTTGCATGCATGAAGCCCTGAGTTCCATTCCTCAGTTCCACATAAACAGAAAATGCCAGAAGTGGCGCTGTGGCTCAAGTGGTAGAGCACCAGCCTTAAGCACAGAAAGGCTCAGGGACAGAGCCCAGGCCCTGAGTTCAAGCCCCAGGACTTGCCAAAAAAAAAAAAAAAAAAAAAGATGAGCACTTTATCACTTGAGCTACAGCTGCTTCAGACTTTTTTGTTGGTTTTAATGGGAGAGAAGAGTATCACAGGCTTTCTCTGCCCCGACGGGCTGGGAACTATGATCCTCAGGTCTCAGCCTCCTGAGTAACTTGGGATTTCAGGCATGAGTCACCTGTTCATTCAGATTCTTAAAGTGGAGTTGTTTGTGTTTGTATCATTTGTTCAGGGATGTGGTTTAGTCATTTATAACAGCATGGATGCAAGCTTGATAATTGTTCTGTTTGGGATTAATCACCGTATTTTAAAATAATCTCACAGGTTATCTCTCTGTGCTATACACTCACCTTAATCCCATTTTACACACCGGAAACAGGACGAAGACGATGACTACTTGCCTGATGATGTGACCTTTGCCCCTAAAGACGTCACCCCTGTGGATTTCACACCCAAAGATAATGTCCACGGACTGGCTTACAAGGGCCTGGATCCCCACCAAGCACTGTTTGGAAGTTCAAGGGAGCATTTTAATCTCTTTGGTGGAGGCTCTGAGGGGGCCGGCCATCTTATTGGAGACGTTGAACCGAATAAAGGAAGAAAATTGGGAATTTCAGGCCAGGTAAAAGTGTTTCTGTTTTTTTAAGGCTGGAGTCCCTGACAAATGATGGTGCTTCCCACGTACACTCTGACCCCTCTAGGAATGCATTCACAGAATGTGGAACGACTAGCGCGTTCCATATGGGAACATATGGGCATGAATCCTAGGGTCATTTGGAAAGGCTCATAAAGCACCCTCTCCTGATTTTACGAATGAACTGCAGAGACTCTGTGGGGATGTTCTTGGTGGAGTTTGTGTGTTCTCAGTGTGAGGACTGCTTTCACATTCTTTTGTGTACGCCTGTGTGTGTATGTGTATGTGTGTATGAGCACACATGTATGCCAGCACTGGGACTTGAACTCAGGCCTTGGCACTGGTCCCTTAGATTTTTCTCTGAAGTCTGGCACTCTACCACTTGAGCCACACTTCCTCTTCTGGCTTTTTGGTGATTTATGGGAGATAAGTGTCACAAACTTTCTTACCCAGGCTAGGTTTGAACCTCAATCCTCAGATCTCAGCCTCCTTAGTAGCTAAAATTAATGGTGTGAGCCACCATCTTCCTGCTTCAATCACGTTCATTCTTTTTTTTCTTTTTTCTTTTTGCCAGTCCTGGGGCTTGAACTCAGCCTAGGCACTGTCCCTGAGCTTCTTAGATTCAAGGCTAGCACTCTACCACATGAACCACAGCACCACTTCCAGCTTTTTCTGTTAATGTGGTACTAAGGAATTGAACCCAGGGCTTCATGCATGCTAGGCAAGCACGCTACCACCAAGCCACCTTCCTAGCCCTTCAGTCACCTTCTTAAAGTAACTTTATCTTTCAATGATTTATACCCTAGATCCAGTAATCACTAAGTCTGAAACCTTATTTTGATTTACTTATTTACTGCTGGTCTTGGCACTTGAGTTCAGAGCGTAGGCGCTGTCCCTGAGCTTTTTCACCCAAGGCTGGCCTCTACCACTTGAGCCACAGCTCCACTTCTGGCTTTTTAGGTGCTTACTTGCAGAAAAGAGTCTCACAGACTTTCTTGCTCGGGCTGGCTTTGAATCACGATCCCTAGATCTCTGCCTTCTGACTAGTTAGGGTTATAGGCGTGAGCCACTCACTGGTGCCCTTATTTTATTTTATTTTTGCAGGCTTTTGGTGTAGGTGCCCTGGAAGAGGAAGATGATGATATCTATGCCACAGAAACTCTGTCTAAGTATGACACAGTTTTGAAGGATGAGGAACCTGGTGATGGGCTTTATGGCTGGACAGCGCCCAGGCAATACAAAAATCAAAGAGGTAATTCCAGAAGGCTGTACCGAGTGGTAGTACTAAGTGTCAGAATCTCAGGAAGAAAGAACTGATAAGATTGATGTCTCTACTAGTACATGTTAATCATTAATTACATTAGTTATATCACCGGCAAAGCATCCTGAATTCATTACCTAAACGACTGGCAATAGGTCAATCTCATAAGAGTTAATACTGTGCCGGACGCTGGTGGCTCGAGCCTATAATCCTAGCTATTCAGGAGGCTAAGATCTGAGGATTGCAGTTCAAAGCTAGCCAGAGCAGGAAAAGTCTGTGAGACTTTTATCTCTTAATAAGCCACCAGAAAACCAGGAGTGGTGTTGTGGCTCAAGCGGTAGAGTGCTTGCCTTGAGCTAAAGAGCTCAGGAACAGTGCCCAGGCCCAGAGTTAAAGCCCCATGACAAAAAAAAAAAAAAAAAGAAAAAGAAAAAAAAGAGTTAATACTGTGTATAACAGGTTTAGGCCAGGTGCTGGTAGCTCACACCTGTAATTCTAGCTACTTGAGAGGCTGAGATCTCAGCCAACTAGGGCAGGAAAACCCATGAGACTCTTTATCTCCAATTAGGCACCAAACAAAAAAAAAACCCAAAACTGAAAGTGGAGCTGTGGCTCAAATGGTAGAGTACTAGCCTTGAGCAAAAAAGCTCTAACCCCAGGACCAAACACACAACAACAACAACAACAGCAACAACAAAAACAGAGAAGTTTAGGGCTTGGAAGGTGGCTCAGTGGTAGAGCACTTGCCTTGCATGCCTGAGGCCCTGGGTTCGATTCCTCAACACCATATAAGCAAAAAGAAAAAAGCTAGAAGTGGCTCTGTGGCTCAAGTGGTAGAGCGCTAGCCTTGAGCTGAAGAGCTGAGGGACAGTGCCCAGGCCCAGAGTTCAGGCCCCACCACCGGACCCCCCCCCAAAAAAAAAAAAAAAAAATACCAGAGAAGTTTAAATCTGCCTTTAAAGCTAAATCTTGCTGGTATTCTATATCCTGGACCCTATGATAATCTATATCCTGGCTCCTACCTCTCCCCAATAAAGTCTGAGTACTCCCTCCTTTGCTATCTGTAAGCCTTCATCCCTTGGTCCTGCCATGTGGTGGCCCATCTCCTGCAGCTGCCTTTCTTCCTGCCCCCAGGGCCAAACATCTGTAGTCTTTTGTTGTTGTTGTTGTTAGTTATGGGACTTGAACTCTGGGTCTGGGCACTGTCCCTCAGCTCTTCAGCTCAAGGCTAGCGCTCTACCACTAGAGCCACAGGGCCACTTCTGGTGTGCTGGTAGTTTATTGGAGGTAAGAGTTTCATGGTTTTTCCTGCCTGGGCTGGCTTTGAACTGTGATCCTCAGATCTCAGCCTTCTGAGAAGCTAGGATTACAGGCATGAGTCACCAGCACCCAGCACATCTGTAGTCTGAACTATGTAGTTTTCCTTTTTTTTTCTTTTGTACCTTTGTTAGGCCTTGAACTCAGGGCCAGGGTGATGTCCTTAAGTTTTTCACTCGAGGCTGGTACTCTACCTCTTGAGCCACAGCTCCACTTATAGCTTTTTGCTGGTTCATTGGAAATAAGAGTGTCTTAGATTTTTCTGGCTTCAAAACTTGATCCTCAAATCTCAGCCTCCTGAGGTAGCCAGGATGACAGTCATGAGCCACCATTGCCTAGCTCTGAGATGCCTAATTTCAACCCTGCTTTTCATTAATTCATGGGCCAAGTAGAGCATTAGTGCTTTTAGCAAAAACAAAAACCTGTTATAGGCTTCCTGTATAGACTGCTGACATAGCCATCTGTTCAGGAAGTGCTTGGATTATAGGACCTTTGTTCTTGGGTTTGTCTCCATGGCCAGTGCCCAGTCTTCCTGCTTTGAGCCAGCCAGAGGGCACTGGTTATTCAGTTTCCTACCTTTGTGATCTTTATCACCTGCTAGAATTTCATTTGTAAAAGACAGAGGCACATTTAATTTGTCATGGATTAGATTACGGGCTGCCCCGGTTGTGGGTTATCTTTTGTGTTTTATTTGGATGGTTGCTAAGCAACCGGAGGGACCTCCCTGAGGAGGCTTTTCATGAAGTGTGAGAAGTGATTTTTACAGCTATGGTTTTTATTTTTGTCCATACTTAACCTCTGTGTAGTTTTTCTTGAAAGCTTTTACGCCACAGGACCTGGGGTCCTTTTTTATAATGATACATTGAGGAAGTTGGGTGCTAGCTCCCACCTATCATCTTAACTACTCAGGAGACCGAGATCTAAGGATCACAGTTCAAAGCCAGCCTAGGCAGGAAAGAATGTGAGACTCTTATCTACAGTTAACAACAAAAAGCTGGAATTTGGGGCTGGGAAGGTGGCTCAGTGGTAGAGTGCTTGCCTTGCATTCATGAGGCCCTGGGTTTGATTCCTCAGCACCACATAAGCAGAAAAAAGCCGGAAGTGGTGCTGTGGCTCAAGTGGTTGGGCACTAGCCTTGAGCTGAAGAGCTGAGGGAGAGTGTCCAGGCCCAAAGTTCAGCCCCCACGACCAGCAAAAAAAAAAAAAAAAAAAGTTGGAAGTGGAGCTGTGGCTCAAGTGGTAGAGCACTAGCCTTGAACACAAAAGTTCAAGGACAGTGTCAAAGCCCAGAGTTCATGCCCCAGAACCAGAAAGGAGAGAGAGAGAGAGAGGAAGGGAGAGAGAGATTGAGAGAGAGAGAAAGGGAGAGGGAGAGAGAGAGAGGGAGAGAGAGACACTGTGGAAGTACTTGTCTTGGGAAGCCAGCCATGGCTTCCTGTCTGGACAGCTAAGCAGCGGAGAGTGCTGTGGGCAGGGTAATAAGTCATTGTGTCAATAGAGGTGTGAGGGCTTTGCCTACCATTTTGTCACCCTGGTACTGTGCCCTTGGAGTGACATCACTCATGTCAAGTACTATTTATATCTTTGGTCTTACCTTTATTGTTCTCAACGTTGGCAATTAATCGGTGACATCATTTTATAGAACCAGAGAAAGATCTTCGCTACATTGGCAAAATTTTGGATGGATTTTCCTTGGCTTCTAAACGTTTATCTTCTAAGAAAGTAAGAAAACCTTTATACTAAATGTTTTACGGGCTGGGAAGGTAGCTCAGTGGTAGAGTGCTTGCTTGCCTTGCATGCCTGAGGCCCTGGGTTCGATTCCTCAGCACCACATAAGAGAAAAAAGCCGGAAGTGGCGCTGTGGCTCAAGTGGTAGAGCGCTAGCCTTGAGCTGAAGAGCTGAGGGACAGTGCCCAGGCCCAGAGTTCAGGCCCCACGACCGGATCAAAAAAAAAAAATGTTTTAGGGCTGGGATGTTGGCTCAGTGGTAGAGTGCTTGCCTTGCCTTGCATGCCTGAGGCCCTGGGTTCGATTCCTCAGCACCACATAAGCAAACAGAAAAAAGCTGGGAGTGGCGCTGTGGCTCAAGTGGTAGAGCGCTAGCCTTGAGCTGAAAAGCTGAGGGACAGCGCCCAGGCCCAGAGTTCAGGCCCCACGACCGGACCCAAAAAAAAAAAAATCTTTTAAACTAGTTTGGGGCTTAAAACATGTGCTGCTATGTAATGTCAGTTACTATATTAATTGAAAAGATAAGGGTCTGGGAATGTGGCTTAGAGTTCTTGCCTTGTGTGCATGAAGCCCTGGGTTTGATTCCTCAGTACCACATAAGCAGAACAAGCTGGAAGTGGCTCTGTGGCTCAAGTGGTAGAGTGCTAGCCTTAAGCACAGAGAGGCTCAGGGACAGTGCCCAGGTCCTGAGTTCAAGCCCCAGGACTGGCAAAAAAAAAGAAAAAGAAAAAAAGAAAAAAGCTAGCATAGGCAGACAAATCCAAGAGATTCTTAACTTCAAATAGCCAGCAGAAAAACTGAAAGTGGAGGTATAGACTCAAGTGGTAGAGCACCAGCCTTGAGCAAGAAAAGCTAAGCAAGAACCTGAGGCAGAAAGAAAGAAGGAGGGAGGAAAAGATAAGAAGCTGATAGCTCACACTTGTAATCTCCTATGTATTGAGGAGACTGAAATCTGAGGATTGAAGTTCAAAGACAGCCTGGGCAGATAAATCTGAGATTCTTACCTCAAATTAACCAGCAAAAAGCTAGAAGTAGAGGAATTGCTTAAGTGGTAGAGTGCCAGCCTTGAGCAAAAAAAGCTAGGGAACAGTACCCAGGCCCTGAGTTCAAGCTCCAGTGCTAGCAAAAATACATATATACATACATACATCTATACATAAATTAATAATAAAACAGACATAGTTGCATTTGTAGGATAAGTGATAGGGCCAAAGTTCAAACTGTGTGACCATTGGACCAGTGTGTCTCTGGTGACCCTGTTAGGCCCAAATAGACACCTGGCCAGGTAGATCCAGGGTTCTCTACCCGCTGAGCCTCATCTTGGAAAGGGGTGGGATTACATTGTTCAGGGGTTAAATCTAACATGATCTTCCTGTAGCCAGTGTTTTCTGAGTTTTGTTTCACTTTGTTTTGTTAAGATTTATGCACCCCCTGAGTTGCCAAGAGACTATCGGCCGGTGCATTATTTCAGACCCGTAGTAGTTGCAACTTCTGAAAACTCACACCTGCTTCAGGTGTTATCAGATTCATCAGGAAAGGCAGTCCATGATCCAGGCACACATAGTAGGCACCAACTGAATGCCTCCAAGCGGGGGGAACTGCTGGGAGAGACACCTGTCCAAGGTAAGTGCCCTGGGTGACACTGAATTCATCACATTTAGAATAATCTGTCTTGTCAAAGTCGAAGTAGAAAGGTGTGGATTTCCTAATAAGATTCTTTACATGTTTTCTTTTCTTTTCTTTTTTCCTGCCAGTCCTGGGGCTTGAACTCAGGGCCTAGGCACTGTCCCTTACCTTTTTCTCTTAAGGTTAGAGCTCTACCATGCTCCATGTCCAGCATTTTGAAGGTTAATTGGGGTTAAAAATCTCATGTACTGGGGGGGCTGGGAAGGTGGCTCAGTGGTAGAGCACTTGCCTTGCATGCTCAAGGCCCTGGGTTCAATTCCTCAGCACCACATAAGAAAAAAGCCGGAAGTGGTGCTGTGGCTCAAGTGGTAGAGTACTAGCCTTGAGCTGAAGAGCTGAGGGACAGCGCCCAGGCCCAGAGTTCAGGCCCCATGACCAGACCCCAAAAAAAAATAAATAAACTCATGTACTGGGGCTAGGAAGGTGGCTCAGTGGTAGATTGCTTGCCTTGCATGCATGAGGCCCTGGGTTCGATTCCTCAGCACCACATAAGCAGAAAAAAGCCAGAAGTGGTGCTGTGGCTCAAGTGGTAGAGTGCTAGCCTTGAGCTGAAGAGCTGAAGGACAGTGCCCAGGCCCAAAGTTCAAGCCCCACAACTGGCAAAAAAAAAAAAAAAAATCTCATGTACTGTCCTGCCCAGCTGGCTTTGAGCCATGATCCTCAGATCTCAGCCTACTGAGTAGCTGGCATTACAGGAGTGAGCCACCAGCGCCCGGCTCGTTCTTTCTTTTTTGCCTTTTCACTCAAGGCTGGCACTCTTCCACTTGAGTCACACCTCTACCTACAGCTTTTTTTTTGGTCATAGCGCTTGAACTCTGGGCCTGGGTGCTGTCCCTCAGCTCTTCAGCTCAAGGCTAGCACTCTACCACTTGAGCCACAGCACCACTTCCAGCTTTTTCTGTCTATGTGGTACTGAGGAATCGAACCTGGGGCTTCATGCATGCTAGGCAAACACTCTACCACTAGGCCACATTCCCAGCTCCACCTACAGTTTTTACTGGTTAGTTAAAGGTAAGAGTTTTTCAGATTTGTTTGCCCAAAATGGCTTCAAACTGGAATCTTCAGTTATCAACTTCCCGAGTACTTCTATCTTTTTCCAGTGCTGGAGATCAAACTCAGGCCTTTGCACGCCCCCACACTGAGCCACACCCCCAGCCTATAAATGTCCAAATTTTAGCCTCTATTATTTTTTCAATTATATACTAGGAGTCTCATAATTTTATTACTGTCTACTTCACAGGAATAGATACAAGGCTAGTAATGAAACACTTCACGTAACATCCTAGTCTCTAATTATGTAAGTTTATAATGTTGAATATGGATGTTCAGAAAAATGTAAAAAGACTTGTCTCATCCTCCTGTCATGTCTTACTCCTGTTTTTATTTAGGCTCTGCTACTTCAGTATTAGAGTTTCTATCCCAAAAAGATAGAGAGAGAATCAAAGAGATGAAGCAGGCAACTGACTTGAAAGCAGCTCAACTCAAAGCTAGGAGCCTGGCCCAGAATGCTTCAGGCAGCAGAGCCCAGCTCTCCTCACCAGACGGCGGAGACCGATCTTGGCACACAGCCTGGGGCAGCGGGACAGCCCCAAGAGCCAGCAACTTCAAACCTTTTGCTAAAGATCCAGAAAAGCAAAAGCGATACGAAGAGTACTTAGTGCATATGAAAAAGGGGCAAAAAGGTGCGTGCAAGATCTAGGTGGAATGGGGCTCTTCCCTGTTGTCTCTCCAGTTCCAGATTTGCTTATTGCTGCAAAGTTTTCAGGCCCTGGCTCTAGACTGTACAGAACAAGAGCAGTGGGGTTGTGTGGTACACGCCTGTATTCTCAGCACAAAGGCTGAGGCAGGAAGATTGCAAGTTTGTTTTTTGTTGTTGTTGGCCATGGTGCTATCCCTGAGCTATTTTGGTCCAGGCTAACACTCTGTCAATTTGAGCCACAGCATCCCTTCTGCTTCTTTGGTAGTTCATTGGAGATAAGAGTCTCATAGACTTTCCTGCCCAGGCTGGCTTCAAACCTCGAACATCAGATCTCAGCCTCGAACATCAGATCTCAGCCTCCTGAGTAGCTAGGATGACAGGTGTGAGCCACCAGTGCCCAACTCATGTTTCTTTCCCCCACCCCCAACAGAAGTAAAACAATGTCTTTCTCCCCTTTCCCCAGATGCTCTGGAACGTTGCCTGGACCCCAGCATGACTGAGTGGGAACGGGGCCGTGAGCGGGAAGAGTTTGCCCGGGCAGCCCAGCTGTATGTCTCTTCCCACTCCACCTTATCCTCCAGGTTCACCCATGCCAAAGAAGAAGATGACTCGGATCAAGTGGAAGTCCCTCGAGACCAAGAGGTCTGTCACCATCCTAGTTGTACCTGGTGAATTTCATTTTACTTGTGTTTTTTTTTTTAGTGTAGTGCTAGGAATTGAACTCAAGACTTTGCACATGCAGTGCACGTGTTCTAATGACTGGGCTTCCCTCCCAGACACCGGCTAAGCTGGGTGCCAGTGGCTCACACCTGTAATTCTCGCTACTTGCCTGTAATTCTGGCTACTCAGGAGGCTAGGATCTGAGGACCACAGTTTGAAGTCAGCCCAAGCAGAAAAATCCATGAGACTCTTATCTCCAATTAACCACCCCCAAACTGGAAATGGAGCTGTAGTACAAAGTGATAGAGCACTAGCCTTGAGCAAAAAAGCTCAGGGACAGCACCCAGGCCCTGAGTACAAGACCCAGGACCAGCAACAAGAACAAAAAATTAATAATAATAGCTACTCAGGAGACTGAGATCTGAAGATTGAGATTCAAAGTCAGCCCAGGCAGGCAACTCTGTTTTTTATCTCCAGTGAACCAACCAAAATGCAGAAAGCAGAGCTGTGTCTCAATAGTAGAATGCCAGGTAGCCTTGAGTGAAAAAGCTGAGCAAGGGGCTGGGAAGGTGGCTCAGTGGTAAAGTGCTTGCCTCACATGCATGAGGCCCTAGGTTCGATTCCTTAGCACCACATAAGCAGAAAAAGCTGGAAGTAGCACTGTGGCTTAAGTGGCAGAGTGCTTGCCTTGAGCTAAAGAGCTGAAGGACAGCGCCCAGGCCCAGAGTTCAAGCCCCACAACCCAACCCCCCCCCCAAAAAAAAAAAAAAATAGGTGAGCAAGAATGCAAAGTTCTGAGTTCAAGTCCCAGTACCAGCACCAAAAATTATTAAAATACAGATGGCATAACAGAATAAAAGAACACTGCTCTGCTTTAGCTTCCAAAGTACTTAAGAAAAAAATGTACATGAGGATCTCTTTTACCAACCTAGGCAGCTGCTGGAAGTTTTATTATGTAACTTTATTATGTAACTTATTTACAATCCAATTGGTTTCATGGCTACTTGATAAAACAATGCTGTCTTTCCCTAGAATGATGTCAATGACAAACAATCAGCTGTGAAGATGAAGATGTTTGGGAAGCTCACCCGAGACACATTTGAGTGGCACCCTGACAAGCTTCTGTGTAAACGATTTAACGTCCCAGACCCTTATCCCAAGTAAGTGAGATAAATCTACCTCGATGGTGACATGTGCCATATTTCTCCAAGATAAAGCTCACTTTTTTTTCTTTCTTTCTTTCTTTTTTTTTGGTGTCCGTCCTGAGGCTTGAACTCAATGCCTGGGCACTGTCACTGAGCTTCTTTGCTCAAGGCTGCTGATATACCACTTGAGCCACTGATCCACTTCTGTCTTTGTAGTGCTTAGTGGGAAATAAGAGTCTCATGAGCTTTTCCTGCCCCAGCTGGCTTCGAACTGTGATCCTCAGTCCTTAGCCTTCTCAGTAACTAGGATGACAGGTGTGAGCCACTGGTACCTGGCTAGTGCTCACTTTTTGCTTAGATACTCTCATAAATTCCCTTTCCCTCTGTGAATATTCTTGTAACACATGGGACTTGGCAGTTTTGCAAATTTCTTTTAACCTTGGCTAATTCATTGCTACAAATCCTATATCCAGATAGCCAGTTTTATTCCAGCACTTGTGGTTCATGCCTCTCATTGTAGCTACTCAGGGGACTGAGATCTGAGAATTACCATTTGAAACCAGCCTGGATAGGGAAAAGCTGAAAGTGGAGCTGTGGCCCAAGTGGTAGAGCACTAGCCTTGAGCCAATAAATAATATCCAGGTCCTAGGTTCAAGTCCTAGTGCAAGCATACCCAAAAAGAAAATCCTCTTTATTTCTTTGCAATCCCCAGTTCCACATTAGTTGGCTTACCAAGAGTGAAACGTGACAAATACTCAGTCTTCAACTTTCTGACACTCCCAGAGACCTCGTCCTTGCCCTCCACTCCAGAACCAATTGGGAAAGTGCCAGAACACTGTGCTTCTGACAGTGAGTAGGACTTCCGTGGATCTGTGCTGTCTGGGACCTCAATCTTTATATGTTACAAAGACACAAGTAGAAGGTGGTAGAACTCTAATCTTATACATAGTGCTGACTCTTCCTTTGAGAAGGAAATGACTCAGTATCCATAAACTACTCCTGTGCTAACAGTCTCCCTGCATGCCATGTGGGGTGGGAGATCTGTTTCTGGTGTCGCTTCATCTCTAGTGTTTTGCCCAATGCTGGCCCATCAAGGGTTCAGCAGTTTTCCTTCCTTCCTTCCTTCCTTCCTTCCTTCCTTCCTTCCTTCCTTCCTTCTTTCTTTCTTTCTTGGCCAGTCGTGGGGATTGAACTCAAGACCTGGGCACTGTCCCTGAGCCTTTCTGTGCTCAAGGCTAGCACTCTACCACTTGAGCCACAGTGCTACTTCCAGCTTTTTTTGTATATGTGGTACTGAGGAATCAAACCCAGGGCTTCATGCATGCTAGGCAAGCACTCTACCACTAAGCCACCTTCCCAGCCCTTCGCCGAAGATCTGAGCCCTTGAGAACACCATTGTGGAAAACTTGCTGATCCTAATGTTTTATCTGTGCCCGCCCTTTCAGAATCCAGGAAACCATCCCGATGGGACACATCTAAGCCAGAAAAGAAAGAAGATTCCATTAGTGAATTCTTAAGTTTGGCTAGATCAAAAGTGGGCCCTCCTAAACAAGAATCCTGTCCCCCTGTAAAGAAAGAGGAAGAACAGGCTCCAGCATCACTTTCCGAGAAGGTACTTGGATCTTCCCTGTGTCTCTGCCTGGCTGGCCATGACCTTGGCTTTACTCGGGGGGGGGGGGGGGGGGGGGGGGGGGGGGGGGGTACAATAGCAAACCTTGCATGAAGGGCAAGAAGGCAAAATGTACTATTTCTTGGTGGGCTGAAGGACTGCAATAGGACTTGATCGCCGTCCTTAAGTTGTGCTGTTGAATGCAAAGGAAATCACAGGCAAATATATAAATGACTGAATATAGTTGTCAAGTGAGCCACTGAGAGAGGATCTCACTACGTAGCCCAGGTTGCCCTTGTGCTCAAGATCTTCCCACCTCAGCTTTCCAAATGCTGGGATTACAGGTATGCGCTACCATGACTCTCTCCCTTAGTATTGGACTCTGAAGACTTGGGCAGGCTTTCGAAGACAACACAGAGGCAACTGCACTCGACTTCATTTTTCTGGGCCTCCAATGACCAGTTTCTAAGGGTAGCCTCTGGCTCCTCATCCCACTGGAGGAAAACCCCACAAAAAATAAAAGTTGTGCTGGGCGTCAGTGGCTCACTCCTGTAATCCTAGCTATTCAGGAGGCTGAGATCTGAGGATCTTGGTTCAAAGCTAGCCTGGGCAGAAAAGTCCATGAAACTCTTATCTCCAATAAAAACCACCAGAAAACTGGAAGTGGCGCTATAACTCAAGTGGTAGAACGCTCGCCTTGAGCTGAAGAGCTGAGGGACAGCACTCAGGCCCAGAGTTCAAGCCCCAAGACTGACCATAAATAAATAAATAATAAAAGTTGTAGCCGGGTGCCAGTGGCTCACCCCTGTCATCCTAACTACTCAGGAGGCTGAGACCTTAGAATCATGATTTAAAGCCAGCCTGGGCAGGAAAGTCTGTGAGACTCTTATCTCTAAAGAACCACCGAAACAAAACAAAAAATAAAGAAAGAAAGAAAGAAAGAACCACCGAAAAACCAGAAGTGGAGGTTTGTCTTGGATGGTAAGAGCACTAGCCTTGGCCAAAAAAGGTTAGGGATGGTGCAAGACTCTAGGAAAGGCGCGCGCGCGCACGCACGCACGCACACACGCACACACACACACACACACACACACACACACACACACACACACACACACACACACGGTTTTATGAGTGTTTTCATTTAGGTAGGCAGTGTGTGGCTCTGGGAACCCACACACATGAGCCTAATTCTAAGTGTGTATGTCTGTGTCTGTGTGTTCCCACATGGCTCCCACTCCCTTGCTTACTCATTCCTTATTCTTCAATGTAACACAGACCACAAATCCAGATGTGGAGTCGCAGGCTGAGGAGGAAGGCAAGCGCCCGTCCATGGACCTGTTCAGGGCTATCTTTGCCAGCTCCTCAGATGAAAAGTCCTCATCTTCCGAAGACGAGCAAGGTGACAGTGAGGACAATCAGGAGGGGGCCGTGGAGGCCAACCTCCAACTTCCCCAAGAAACCCACGTGGAGGAAACCTCTTCCACAGCACCGGGTATGTTCATCTCTCAGGCTTGAAGGTCTAAGGGGCAGCTGCTGGCACTTCATCTGTCCTCACAAATCAGGGGAATTAGGTGGGCATCAATGGCTCAGCCTGTAATCCTAGCTACTCAGGAAGCTGAGATCTAAGGATCACAGTTCAAGGCCAGCCCCAGGAAGGAAAGTCCTGTGACTCCAAATAACCAGCAAAAAAAGCGAGAAATGGATATTTTGATCAAGTGGTAGAGCTTCAGCCTTGAGCACAAAAACATATGTATGTGTGTGTACATATAAATAAGTATATATGCATACACACATATATATGTTTATCGTATATATGCATATATATATATATGCATGCTTACCATGTATTTTTTTTTTTTTGGTTGGTTTTTTGTTTTGTTTTGGTTTTACTGGTCCTGGGGCTTGAACTTAGGGCCTGGACTCTGTCCCTGAGTCTCTATGATCAAGGCTAGGGCTCTTCCTACCACTTGAGCCACAGTGCCATTTCTGGCTTTTATTTTTCTTTTTCATTTTATATTTTGGTCAGGTCAGGCCTGGGGTCTTGAACTCAGGGCCTGGGCACTGTCCCTGAGCTTCTTTTGCTCAAGCATTCTACCACTTTGAGCCAAGTGCCACTTCCGGCTTTTTCTGTTTATGTGGTGCTGAGGGCACCATGGGCTTCATGCATGCTAGGCAAGCACTCTACCACCAAGCCACCTTCCCAGCTCCTCATGTATATTTATATGTTTATCATATTCTGATATATATATGATATATATGAGCCCATGAGACACATATTCATATTCATATCTATAAGAATTTCATATATATTTTATATATCATATATGATATATGGGGGAGGATGTATTTGTATGTCTCAGACTTTCCAGTCTTGTCTGGCTCTGAACTAAGATCCTCAAACCTCAGCCTCCTGAGTAGCTAGGATTATAGTCATAGGCCTGCATCAATTGTGTTTTTCTGTAGTCCAGGCAGAGATGACAGCCCTGTTCCACTATACCTCATTGTTAATATTTTTCATGAAATAAACATCCAGGGGCTGGGAAGGTGGCTCAGTGGTAGAGCGCTTGCCTTGCATGCCTGAGGCCCTGGGTTCGATTCCTCAGCACCACATAAGCAAAAGGAAAAAAGCCGGAAGTGGCGCTGTGGCTCAAGTGGTAGAGTGCTAGCCTTGAGCTGAAGAGCTGAGGGACAGCGCCCAGGCCCAGAGTTCAGGCCCCACGACGGGACCCAAAAAAAAACAAAAACCATCCAAGTTTCTGGTAGAGGACAGGGTCTTCTGTCCTGTGTGTCTGTATGTAAGACTGTATCTTTGTATCTGTTCTCAGCTAAGTCTTCCTCTGGGATGTGTATGGTCTCTCCAGCTGGCAGAGACCCGGCGTACATGTCCCTTGGTACACGCACCTGCCGGTGCTGGCAAAAAACCTGAAGTAGATTCTGACACACATCAAGACTAGCAGATGAATGAGTATCCTTATGTTTTTCAGCCAGCGAGCCGGAACCCCAGGAGCTCACACTTCCCTTCCCGATACAGAAGATGCAGATAGATGAACGAGAAGAGTTTGGCCCTCGGCTGCCCCCTGTCTTCTGCCCCAGTGAGTCCAGATCCCCTTGGTTCACCTGCTTGTACCACACATACCTCCTGATACATCTGCCAGTCTAACAGCGTGTCTACACTCCCATCTAATCCAACCTGAAGCCACCCACATGTATGTCCCTTCATTATTTGTTTTTCTGCTGGCATTGGGACTTGAACTTGGGACCACTGGCTCTCCTTTAGCTTTTTCACTCAAGGCTGGTGCTCTACCAATTGAGCCACAGCTGCACTTCTAGCTTTTTGTTCATTAACTGGAAATAAGAATCTCACGGATTTGTTTGCTTGGGATGGCTTTGAACTATGATCCTCAGATCTCAGCCTCCTGAGTAGCTAGGATTACAGATGTGAGACACCAGCATTTATCCACATGTTCTGTTTTGAAACTAATCACTTCTTCCTGGTGGCTGAATGATGATCATTGCTTTATACCTTCAGAGATCTTTCAACTGGTTTTATCTACTTTTTTTCTGGTCCTGGGGTTTGAACTCAGGGCCTGGGCACTTGTCCCTGAGCCTCTTTTTGCTTAAGGCTAGCACTCTACCACTTGAGCCACAGCACCACTTCCAACTTTTTGGGGTAGTTTATTGGAATCTCATGGGGATTTTCTGCCCCAGCTGGCTTCAAACCGTGATCCTCAGATCTCAGCTTCCTGAGTAGCTAGTATTATAGGCATGAACCATCAGCACCTGGCAATATACATTTTACATTGGTTTTGTTTTGTTTTTCTGTCAGTCGTGGGGCTTTTTAACTCAGGGCCTGGTTGCTGTCCCTGAATCTTTTTGTGCTCACGGCTAGTGCTCTACCACTTGAGCCACAGTGCCACTTCCTCAACTGGTTTCTTTTACATCTTTCCTGGATATCTGGTAGGGTCCTGAGCATCTTTAAATTTTGTCACCTACAAAGTCAGATTTGCTAGTACACATCTGTCATCCCAGCACTCAAGAGGTTGAGGCAGGAAGATCGTGAGTTTGGGACCACTTGTCTTAAAAAAAAAGTCATGCCAGGAACTGGTGGCTCACACCTGTAATCCTAGCTATTCAGGAGGCTGAGGTCTGAGAATTACAGGTCAAAGCCAGCCCGGGCAGGAAAGGCCATGAAATTTTTATCTCCAATAAACTACCAGAAAACCAGAAGTGGCGCTGTGGCTCAAGTGGTAGAGCACTAGCCTTGAGCTGAAGAGCTGAGGAATAGCACTTAGGCCCAGAGTTCAAGCCCCATGACCAACAAAAAACAAAGAAATTCAAATCTAAGCCAGTGGCTCATTCCTGTAATCCTAGCTACTCAGGAGGCTAAGATCTGAAGATCACAACTCAAAGACTATCTGGGTAGAAAAGTCCTATGAGTCTCTCTCTCTCTTTTTTTTTTTTTTTTTTGGTTAGTTGTAGGGCTTGAACTCTGGGCCTAAGCGCTGTTCCTCAGCTCTTCAGCTCAAGGCTAGTCCTCTACCATTTGAGCCACAGCACCACTTCCAGTTTTCTGGTGGTTTATTGGAGATAAGAGTCTCACAGACTTTTCTGCCCGAGCTGGCTTTGAACCACAATCCTCAGATCTCAGCCTCCTGAGTAACTAGGATTACAGGCATGCGCCACCAGTACCCAGCTATGAGACGCTTATTTTCCATTAACCAGCAAACAACTAGAAGTGGAGCTCAAGTGGTAAAGCACCAGCATTGAACAGGAAAGCTAATGGATAATGCCCAGGCCCTGAATTCAAGTCCCAGAATTGACAAACTCAGGGCTTGGCCTTTAGCTTTTTCATTCAAGGCTGGTGTTCTACCACTTGAGGCACATTACCACTTCTGGTTTTTTGGTGATTAACTGGAGATAAGAATCTTAGAGAAGGGCTGGGAAGGTGACTCAGTGGTAGAGCGCTTGCCTTGCATGCATGAGGCCCTGGGTTCGATTCCCTAGCACCACATAAGAAAAAAGAAAAAAGCCGGAAGTGGCGCTGTGGCTCAAGTGGTAGAGCGCTAGCCTTGAGCTGAAGAGTTGAGGGACAGCGCCCAGGCCCAGAGTTCAGGCCCCACCACTGGACCCCCCCCCCCCAAAAAAAAAAAAAAAAAAAAAAGTATCTCAGAGATTTTTCTGCACGGGCTGGCTTTGAATCTCAATTGTTAGATCTCAGCCTCCTGAGCAGCTAGGATAACAGGTGTTAGCCACCGGCACCTGGCACATTATATTCTTTCGATTTCTTAAAAAAAAAAAAAAAAAAGACATTGCCAGTGCCACTGGCTCAAGGCCTGTAATCCTAGCTACTCAGGAGGCTGAGATCTGAGGATTGCATTTCAAAGCCAGCCTAGGTAAGAAAGGCCGAGGAACTCTTATCTCCAATAAGCCACTCAGAAAACCAGAAGAAGTGTTGTGGCTCAAGCAATAGAGCACTGGTCTTGAGCTGAAGAGCTGAGGGACAGCGCTCAGGCTCAGAGTTCAGGTCCCACAACAACAACAAAAATAAAGTCTTTTGTTGTTGTTGGTCATGGGGCTTGAACTCTGTGGGCCTTGGCACTGTCCCTCAGCTCTTCAGCTCAAGGCCAGCACTCTACCGCTTGAGCCACAGTGCCACTTGTGGCTTTTTTCTGCTTATGTGGTGCTTATGAGGAGTTGGACCCAGGGCCTCATGCATGCAAGGCAAGAACTCTACCACTGAGCTACATTCCCAGCCCCAAAAAGACAAATTCTTGGGGGGAAAAAAAAGTTTTTTTTGTAAAGAGACAAAGATACACAGAAGAGGTGACATATTCCAGACTCTGGGTTGTAGAACTGTGCCTGGTCCCAGATCCATCCTGTATGTCCCCAAGAACAAAAGGAATCTCATAGCTATGCAAATGAGGTCTGGAGCGATTAATCATGTAACCTTGGCTGGTGAGACAAGATTCAGCTTTGAAGTCTGAGCTGGTGTTGAGACCAGAAGATCTGATACCATCCAAACTGACCTGCTCTGGCAGATAAGCCTAGGGCAGCCCAGGTCTGGGTAGCACAGGTCTGATGGTAAGGTTTCTAGTGTTTTCTGAAGTAAAGCACTATGGGATGTTTCACTCAGCTTTTTGGTTTATCAGCCAGGTAGGAGTTGAACCCAGGATGAAACATTCCTGTTTTTATAATTGGGCCACATGTTTATCACATTTGCTCTTCAGATGCACGTCAGAAACTTGAGATACCTCAGAAGGAGAAACAGAAAAAGAACAAAGATAAACACAAGTCCCAGAAAGAACACAGACGAAAGAAAGAGAAGGTGAGTGTTTGCAGGTGTGGTTGGGGAGGGGGGTCAGAGGAGAGGGGTGTTGGGGGTGAAGGGAGCCCCAGAAAAGGGGCTGCCCACCAAGTTAGGGCCACAGGTCTTGTACTGCATTTAGGTCCCCCAAGCTTTGCTTTTATCTTTCAGCTCAGTATACTTTAGTTTGTGAAATTTAATTATTTTGGGAAAATATACATCTAAAGCTGGGTGCCAGTGGCTCCCACTTATAATCCTAGTTACTAAGGAGGCTGAGATCTGAGGATTACAGTTTGGAGCCAGCCTAGGCAGGAAAGTCTATAAGACTTTTATTTCCAACTAACTACCCAAAAAAAGTCAGAATTGGAGCTGTGGCTCAAGTGGTTGAGTGCTAGCTTTGAGCAAAAAAGTTCAGGGACAGCATCCAGGCCCTGAGTTCAAGCACTAAAATAAACGTGTGTGTGTGTTGCACTTGGAAATTTGTGTGTGTGATAATTTGAAAAAAGGCACCTAAAGGTTGAATATTTCCAAGCCAGGCACTGGTGACTCACACCTGTAATCCTAGCTACTCAGGAAGCTGAGATCTGAGGATGCAGATTTGAAGCCAGCCTAGTGCAGAAAAGTCTACAAGACTCTTTATCTCCAATGAACCAACCAAACAAAAAAAAAAAAAACTGCCTTCAAACTGGGATCCCTATATCTTAGCCTCCTGAGTAGCTAGGATTACAAGTGTGAGCCACCAGTGCTGGCCCTTCCTAGTTTCTGATTGACTTTAACAACTAAGTGCAAGCCCGAGTTAGCATCCCCTCCTCGGAGCTGGCTTCACAAGTGCTCTCTGCCCCTGAGCCACAGTCCTAGAACCTGGGTTGGCTTTCCACTATGCCAAACCAAGATGCTGGGAAAATACCTGTTTCTTTCCCCGTTGCGATCTCCCCCTCCCTTTAAAAATTTTTTTTCCCAGAAAAAGAAACATAAAAAGCACAAACACAAAAGCAAACAGAAGAATAAAAAATTAGAGAAAAATAGCGGCTCTGAGAGTTCTGACACAAGTGACAGCCAGAGCGATGAAGAAGGGACCTCAGACCTGTCACCCCAAGAACTGCTGAGACGGTAAGCCACAGGAGATTTGGGGGGGGGTCTCTGAGACTTGGAAAACTTAATGAATACTGGATGTGTGTGTGTCCACAGAAATAACACCATAAACAAGAAATCTGTATATTGATCAGAATTTACAGAGTTTTGGGGGGGTTTTTTTTTGTGTTTTTTTTTTTGGGTCCGGTCGTGGGGCCTGAACTCTGGGCCTGGGCGCTGTCCCTCAGCTCTTCAGCGCAAGGCTAGCGCTCTACCACTTGAGCCACAGAGCCACTTCCGGCTTTTTTCTTTTTGCTTATGTTGTGCTGAGGAATCGAACCCAGGGCCTCATGCATGCAAGGCAAGCGCTCTACCACTGAGCCACCTTCCCAGCCCCCAGAATTTACAGAGTTTTAATCTTCCAGCTAGGCACCTATGGATCACACTTGTCACCCTAGCTATTCATTAGGCTAAGATCTGAGGATCACAGGTCAAAGTCAGCCTGGGCAGGAAAGCCTGTGAGACTCGTATCTCCAATTAACCACCAAAGGCAGGAGAGCTGTGGTCCAAGCCTCCTAAGTAGCTAGGATTATAGGCATGAACCCACCAGCACCTAGCTCATGAGACTCTTATCTCCAGTTAACCATCAAAAAGCCAGAAGTGGAACTGTGGCTCAAGTGGTGGAGCATCAAGCTTAAGTAAAAAGCTATGGGACAGTACCTAGGCCTGGAGTTCAAGCCCCAATACTGGCATACACACAAGAGATGGTCCTCATGAGAGATGTGGGTTAGTGGGTCTCTGAATGCTTTTATTCAGCTTGAAAATCCAGATTAAGCTTTGTGTCATAGCGGGTGGCTGTCCCCTGGGCTTTCTACGTGGGGACATTCCTCTGTAACTCAGTGGGCACACTTAGCCCTCCCAGAGCTGTTTGACTTTTTAGTTTCCATCTACTTACCAGCCCTCTTCTGTTACCTTTCTCAGGCTGAAATGTCTCCCGCTAAGAAGACAGTAATTGAATTCTACCCCAGCTTCTCTCCGGAACCCATCTTGTCACTGATAGAAGTCCATGGATTGTTCAGTTAATACACTGTACAGATTGTATTTATATGTAAATTCCTGCTGTAAAATAATTTTTTTTAAATCTTGACTTTTCAAAGGCTGCGTTGAAAGGTTGCGGAAATTGATTTCTATTTTTAACTTCACTTCATGTCAGAGTGAAAAATTCAGATTGAACAGTTTAATTAAAGTACTGGAGTTTGCGATGGGTTTTTTTTTTTTCTCTCCTTTCCTCTTGAATTTTTAATTTCCTGGAAATTTGAAAAATAAATTAAAAGTGAAGGCTTTCAGACAGGCTCCCATGGCTCATACCTGTAATCTGAACTACTCAGGAGGATGCAAGCTTACGATGGAAGCCAGGCTGGACAGGAAAGTCTGTGAAAATCTTATCTTTAGTTAAAGAGCAGAAATCTAGAAGTGGGTTTGGAAGGTGGCTCAGTGGTAGAGTGCTTGCCTTGGACATGCATGAGGCCCTGGGTTCGATTCTTCAGTACTACATAAGCAGTAAAAGCTGGAAGTGGCGCTGTGGCTCAAGTGGTAGAGTGCTAGCCTTGAGCTGAAGAGCTGGGGGACTGTGCCCAGGCCCTGAGTTCAAGGCCCAAGAACTGCATAAAACAACAAAACACAGTGTGGTGTACACCAAAGAGTTGCTTGCCTAGTGTGTGCTAGGCCCTGGGTCACATCCCCATCACTGGGGAAAGAAGGCAGAGGGTCCTAACTCATCCAAGAAGCCATGTGGGTTGGGAATGTGGTTTAGTAGTAGAGTGCTTGCCTAGCATGCATGAAGCCCTGGGTTCATTTCCTCAGTACCACAAACACAGAACAAGCTGGAAGTGGTGCTGTGGCCCAAGTGGCAGAGTGCTAGCCTTGAGCAAAAGAAGCTCAGGGACAGTGCCCAGGCCCTGAGCTCAAGCCCCAGGACCTACAGAAAAAAAGAAAAAGAGGCCATGCATCAGGGTGTGTGTGCATGTGTGCGTGTGTGTGTGTGTGTGTGTGTGTGTGCACGCGCTTGTGCATGCGTGTGTTGGTTCTGGAGCTTGAACTCCGCCAGGGCACTGTCCCTGAACTTTTTTTTTTTTTTTTAATTTTATTTTTATTTGAGAACATACTGTACAGAGGGGTTACAATTACATGGGCAGGATAATGCATACATTTCTTACCAAGCATTGCAGCCTCCTCCTTTGTTTACCCTTCACCTCCCTTCCCACCCTCCCCCCTCCCCCCCCACCCAATCAAACCCCCCCTCCCCCCTGTCCCTGAACTTTTGTGCTCAAGGCTAGCACTCTACCTCTTGAGCCTCAGCTCTAATTAGAGCTTTTTGCTGGTTAAAAGTCTGACTTCCCTGTATTGCCTGGCTTTGAACCTCAATCCTCAAATCTCAACCGCCTGAGAAGCTAGAACTACAGGCCACAAAGCACCCTGATTTTTTTTTTTTTGGGGGGGGGGGTGGGGTCCGGTCATGGGGCCTGAACTCTGGGCCTGGGCACTGTCCCTCAGCTCTTCAGCTCAAGGCTAGCGCTCTACCACTTGAGCCACAGTGCCACTTCCGGCTTTTTTCTTTTTGCTTATGTGGTGCTGAGGAATCGAACCCAGGGCCTCATGCATGCAAGGCAAGTACTCTACCACTGAGCCACCTTCCCAGCCCAGCACCTTGATTTTTTATTTTATTTTTGTCGGTTGTGGGGCTTGAACTCTGGGCTTGGGTGCTGATCCTGCGCTCTTCAGCTCAAGGTAAGCACTCTACTGCTTGAGCCACAACACCACTTTGTTTCCTACTGGTTTATTGGAGATAAGAGTCTCACAGACTTTCCTGCCAGGGTTGGCTTTGAACCATGATCCTCAGATCTCAGCCTCCTGAGTAGCTAGGATGACAGGGGTGAGCCTCTGGCGCCTGGCTTTTTTTATTTTCACCCAGTTTTGCTGCATATCCTTGCTAATCCTCAAGCTCATCCTCCTCCAGGGGTGCACAGCCCACCAGGCTATGGAAACACCCACTTTCCTTCAAGTGGCCTGATGGCTGCGATTCAGATCATCTTCCCTGGGGGGAGGGGGGGAGGTCCCCGGGGTAGCTCGTGGCCCTGAAGGGCTGGGGAGGGGGCGGGGGCGGGGAGGGAGGGAGGCCGAGGTGGGGCGCGCGGGGCCACCGTTCCCCCTGCCAGCTGTGTGGGAAGAGAGGCATCGCCAGACAGGGTCCAAGATGGCTCGCCCACCGCCAAGCCCCCAGCGCATCCCGCGCAGAAGGAAGATCCCAATCTTCCCTGAGCGAACCTGGGGCTGGAGGACCCAGGCCGCCACCCAGGAGCCACCCAGGGGCCACAAGGTGCCCTGGGGGCCCCTGGTGAGGGCCTTGGGCCACTTCAGGATGTCCCTCCCGGACATCCGCCATCGGGAGAGGATGCTGAACACCCACGACCCGGTGTCCCTGGACAGGTGCCCTCGGCTGTCCGAGGACCAGGACGAGGAGGAGCCTGAGATAAACTGGGGGGACCACCAGCCCCTCTCCAAGGTCAGAGCCCACGAGTGACTGATCGGATTCGGGGACGGGGGCGGGGGGAGGGGGGAGGGGGGGAGGGGTGTCAATGTGGCTTTTATCTGCATGCTGGGGCCATGCTGTGCCCCTACCCCAGCCCGCAGCACCCCCCACAGACAGACTGACAGACAGACAGACAGCACTGCATCCCCACGCCCACAGTGCTGTGGCCCGGCTGGTGTGTGTGTGTGTGTGTGTGTTTTACATACTTTTTACATACTTTTCTGCCCACGATGGCTTTGAATAGTGATCCTCAAGATCTCAGCCTCCTAAGTAGTTAGGATTTCAGGTGTGAGGTACCAGTGCCCTGCTACATTTTATTTTTGTGTTTGTTTTAACTCAGGGCCTGACCGCTGTCCCTTCACTTTTCACTCAAGGCTAGCACTCTACTACTGGAATCACAGCTCCATGGTTCTAGCTTTATTGGTGGTTTGTGGGAGATAAAGAGTTCCACAGACTTGCCTTCCCTGGCTGGCGTTCAACCCAGATCCTCAGTTAGCAGCTACCTGATTAGTGAGGATTACTGACATAAGCCACCCCAGTGGTCTTTCTCTCAGCAGTATTTTGTAATATTCAAAGTACAAATTTTCCACTTGCTTTGATTTATTCCTACATGTTCTTGTGGATGCTTTTGTAAATGGAATATTTTAATCCCCCCACACACTCTTTTGTCAGTTGTGGGGCTTGAACTTGGGGCCTGGCACTGTCTCTGAATTCTTTTTGCTTAAGCCTAGCACCAACCACAGCTCCACTTCTGGTTTTCTGGTGGTTAATTGGAGATGAGAGTCTCACAGACTTTCCTGCCAACTGTGATCCTCAGATCTCAGCATCCTGAGTAGCTAGGATTATAGGCATGGGTACCAACACCTGCTTTTTTTTTTTTTTTTCCTCTCCCTACACAATTGCTAGGGTTGGGGATTTTGCTCAGTGGAAGAGTGTTTGCCCAGCAAGTTCAAAGCCCTGAGTTTGATACTCAGCTCTGCAAAAAGAAATAGGAATTGCCTTTTGTGTAACAGCCTTGTATCCTAGTTTTGAACTGGTTTTGTTGGTTTGTTTACAGGTCCCATATAAAATCCTGGCTGGGCATGAGCATGCTGTGAGTTCCTGTCACTTCTGTATGGATGACACAAAGATCGTTAGTGCCTCCTTTGACCGCACTGTTAAATTGTGGGTAGGTTAGTTTCTGGGGTTAAAATGTCTTATAGACATCTTATAGACACTTCTTTGGTTTTTGTTTTGCTTGTCTTTTGTGTTTTTTTGTTTGCTTGTTTGTATTGGTGACAGTACTGAGTACTGAGGCTTAAACTCAGGACCTGGGTGCTGTCCCTTAGCCTTTTCCACTCAAGGCTAGCATGTTACCACTTGAGCAACACCTCCACTTCCAGCTCTTTGGTAGTTCATTGGAGATAAAGATCTCATGTACTTCCAGCCCAGATTGGCTTCAAACCATGATACCCAGATCTGAGCCTCCTGAGTAGTTTTACTTTTCAACTTTTTGATTGAACAATAGGACTCATGTGTTTTCTGTCTCTTTGGGTCAGATCCCAGTACTGCCAAACAGACAAACAAAGAAAAATTCATTGTCCCTTTACCACCACAGAGTAAATGACTGTGAAAAATGTTGAGGGGGGTCGCATCTTTTTTTTCCACATAGTGACTCATTTACAGAATCAGGGACCATGCAGAAATACTGCATTTGTAACCCAGAACTATATATGGTTACATCTAGATTTTTCTAACTATTTATTGGAACCCTGTCCTCATTCATTCAGAGCCTGGCCAGTATCCTTACTTAAAATTGAGTCCATAGGTGCTGGCTGAAATTGTCTATGGATGCTGTTCCTTCTCTTGGCCACATGAGGACACTGTTGTATACTGAACCAGACCCAACACTATGGATGCTGGTCAATTCCATTAGCTGGCCCCAAGGCATATGCCGCAGGCCTCCAGGTAATACATCTTAGTTTACAGTTACATTTTTTATCTATAGAGCAACATTACTAACTGGGGTGGCTGGATTCCAGTCTGTCTTTCCAGTACCCAATGAAGAGGAAGACTTTTTTGTTGTTGGTCATGAGACTTGAACTCAGATCCTAGGAACTGTGCCTAGTAATTCAAGGCTAGCACTCTACTACTTTGAGTCACAGCACCACTTCCCATTTTTGAGTGGTTCATTGGAGATAAGAGTCTCACAGACTTTTCTGCCCAGGCTGGTTTTGAACTGTGATCCTCAGATCTCAGCCTCCTGAGTAGCTAGGATTACAGGCGTGAGCCACCAGTGCCTGGCTAAGAGGACGGTTCTTGAACACCATACCTGCCCTCTTTGGGATGTTGCCCCCAGCACTTTTCCCTTGGCTAATTTGGCTTTATAAATGGATGGTCCTCCACTGTAATAACACTCCTGTAATTCTAGCTATTTAAGGAGGCTGAGATCTGAGGATCACAATTCAAAGCTAGCCTTCATAGAAAACTTCATGAGATTTAAATAAATATATATATATATATATACACACATATATATATATATATATATATATAGTTATTGTAGAGGTGATGTATACAGGGGTTACAGTTACATAAGTCAGGTAAAGAGTACATTTTTGGGCTGGGAATGTGGCTTAGTGGTAGGAATGCTTGCCTAGTATGCAAGTAAGCCCTAGGTTCAATTCCTCAG